AAAAATGCCTTGACACAATTGATGACTTTGGCAGAAATGGCTCTATTTCTTCCTGCCAAGCTTTGGAGCCTTGAAAAATTATGCCAAAGTTGACACTAGTTCAAGATCATTATTATAAATTTTCCATGTTTGTGGTGACTAGGTCTTCCCAGCCCACAATGTGCTGTAATTGCTTCATGTGAATCAAGGTTTATAATGCCTTGGTAAGACCATATTAGCCATACTGCATCCAGTTTTGGTCACCACAATACAAAAGGGGTCTCTAGAAAGAGTGTAGAGAAGAGCAACAAAGATGATTAGGGGACGGGAGGCTAAAACATATGAAGAATGGTTGCAGGAATTGAGTATGTCTAGTTTAATTAAAAGGAGTGACTAGGGATGACATGATAGCAGTGTTCCAGTATCTAAGGGTCTGTCACAAAGAAGAGGGAATTAAAGCACCTGAAGACAGGACAAGAAGCAATGGGAGGAGAGGACCAACCTAGAACTAAAGGGAAATTTCCTGACAATGAGATAAATTAACCAGTGGAACAGGTTGGTTGTTAAGAAGAGACTGGGCAACCACTTATCTGAAATGGTCTCCTGCTTGAGTGGGGGTTTGGACTGGAGGATCTCCATGGTTCCTTCCAACTATGTTATTCTGTTACATTATTCTGTGTCTCTCCCCCCCCCCCCATGATTATATGTACCCATCTCACCAATTCCAAAGAAAGTCCAGAATGGTATAGGATCTCCTGTGACAGACAGGGAGTTGAACTAGAAGACCTCCAAGGTCCCTTCCAACCCTATTATTCTATGTTCTAAGTATATAAATGGACATAAATATTCTTTTTTTTTTTTAGCAATGATGATTATTCCATCTCTACTTCTCTAATATGAAGTAACTCATTCCAATTCATTTAAGTTTATTGATTTCCTAGAAGTCAATATTCAGTTCTAACATTTTTACTTAGACATTAAATTTGATCGTGATTCTTGCTTTTCCTGTACCAATTTTTTGGGGGGGTACCAGTAGCCAGCCATATTCCAACAGGTTCTAGTATTTAAAAAAGACAATAGGCCTACCTTGGATAAATGTTAAAATGTTATATCAATTAAGATATTAACTGGAAAAAGATACATCATGTGTCACTTCAGCTTGTCAAGAAACTCAGGAATGACACTAAACAGACTTCCTAGACAGACTTCTACCCAATTAGATAAATCATTGCATATTCCTAGGCAGGGGTGGGATGCTACTGGTTCTGCCCAGCTCTATAAAACCGGTAGCTATGAAGAGCAGCAGACACAGAACCGGTTCTGTGTCTGCTGCTGTTTGGCCTGCCTGCCTGCCCACCCGGGCTCTTACCTGACCTTTATTTCCTGCTTTTTCAACCTCAGCTGCTTTGCGCGGCACAGCTGAAGTTGAAAAAGCAGGAAAAAAGAGGCATTTCAAATGCTGCACACCTGCGCGCAGTGTTTATCAGCTGTCTGGGAGGCACAGCTTTTGGTGTATTACCCACACATGCAGCACGTGTCTGGTGCACATGCGCATGAATCACGCATACGCACGCAAAACGTAAGTACAGGACCGGTAGTAACACCAATTGAATCCCACCCCTGTTCCTAGGTCTTTAGATCTATGCAGAATTTCAAAATACTCAGGCTGACTGGCCTTCTTGTATAATTTTTTAGAAAAAAATAGCACAATATATGTTGATATTGAAGATCCAGACAGTGTTACATTGGCATAGCATTGTGTTATACAGCATAGTGTTGCATACATTATTAAAAAGCCCCACTAAATGTGTCTGTCTGATTAGCTTTTCCTACTGACAGTGAGATCACGAGAATTCCCTAAAAAACTAAGTTCTTCTGGGGAGAAAATTACATTACAGTATTACACTATTTTCCTAGTAAAATTGTTTTCTTGACATATAGTAATTCCATCTTTTCCAGATTAAAGTTGACTAAGCCCATGATTGCTTTCATTTTACAGCAATTCTTCAGCTTTTATAGGCTGAATAGATAGGAAAAAAATTGTAACAAACGAATAAGAGGAAATATGACCTATGGTTCCAAGGGAATATAATTGATCTTTAAAAACATTAATTTAAAATAATCTTACCTATAAAAGTTAATACAGTTTTATAATAAGTTTTAATTAATTCTTCTATTGCTGTTGTGCACTGCTGTAATAAAAAAGCAGTAAATAAAAATGCAACTGTTATTGTTTTAAACTTGGGAATTTTAATAGTTATAATTCTGTTTTTCAGTATATTCTAAAAACTTACCTTATTGATTCTTGTGTAGGCTTATTGTGTTAATAAAAATATGGAAATTTGTGTGTGGGGGGGTTGTTTTTAATAAGTATAGAAATTGAAGGAAAGGTAAGAAGGAGGTTGAGAGGAATGAAGAAGTACAGAGAGGAACAGTTTGAAAAGAAAAACCAATTCTGACAGCAAAAACATTTTAGGAATGCAGTTCTGGATGAATTACAGGTGGCTTTGATAATCTAAGTCTTAACAGAATTAATTAAGTCTTTCACATATATAAGGATGTATTTATCTGAATTGCTTATTTGTACAGCTGAAATATAATGCTTACAGCTTTGTGCAAAAGTTCTGATCAATTATATCAAGAACATTTAATTGTTAGAAAAAATGAAAATAATGAATTAAATGCAAATGTTAATTTTTTAAAAATAGAAGAGGAAACAGTAAAAGGGAACTAATTTAATTTGCTACAGCACTGTGCAATATTCTTTAGAAAATGCTGCCACTAATTTCTTTGGTATGTTGAATACTTGAGAAGAAAATGTGGTGAAGTTTATTATTTCTTCACTCGTCAGTGGAACTTATCTATAAATTACTTATATAATATACAAATACACATGAAAGCAGAAAATTAATTACCCCAACTATCAGCATCATGCATATGTCCAGCTGTGTAGTTTAGTCATCATGCATAATGCTGTAAAATTCAGCTTTCAGCATATTTCACTTTTATCATTCTTTCATTTAGTCTACATTTAGTAGCTATCTTGCATATAACATTTTAAAAAGAATATTTCCATTTAGGTATCCATTGCAAGCCAAACCACTAAAGGTTCATAACCTCTCAAATTGTTTGTTTGGGTGGGGGGGGGGGGGGGAGAGGAAGTGTTTTTATTTTATGACACAGTTGACACTTAGTGACTTTGTCATTCTTTGAGAGAGTTACATTCATACTATCTTTGGTTTTAACTGATCCTAATACTTAAACATAATAAACTACCAATATAGTTATGTAACTGTTGTTGATTCTTAAGAAATATGCAACCTGCAGTTCTAAGATAACCTGTAATCCTTGGCTTTATTTCATATACCTTTACAAAAATATTGACCCTTTGCAAACAATAAATTCAGGCCTGAAGAAAAAGTAAACCATCCTTCATATGCAGCCTGATACATAAACAAAATAAACAAAAAAGAGACTATCAAAAACAGAAAAGAGAGAGGTTTTTTCCTAGATTTTTTTTCCATACAATTCAGCCATCATATGTTGCTCCCTTCATTCTGCAAATAATTAGTGTATCATATAAACCTCAAAAGCTTACTGCAGTATGAATGCATTATTTGCCTAAAAGAAAATAAACTTTTCCAAAACTGCCTCTGTATTTATTACAGACCACTGAAAGATCTATCCATTAGAAAAACTCAGTTTATTCAAATGTACTCCTCCCATCTACTTCCAGTATTAACCAATGAATAAGCCAAGAAGTTGGCTGTTTATGAAAGTACTAAATTTAATCTAGAGCTTTTATTAAGAGATTTTGTGAAATAATTTTGGAAACTAAGTATGTCTTCCAAGTAACTCCTTTTTGAATGTTAATATAACATTCCAATTGTATAAAAAGCCAATTCCCTTTTGAATAAACCATGATGCTTAGTCTTCTGTATTACTTTTTCTTCTGCAAGCCCAATACATTTTGCCCATCCACATACATCAATTATTTTTCAAAAGATTTCAGTTAAGTATGAAATCAAAATGTGCAACTTGCGTTACCTGTTCAAGTGTTAATTATATCGAAATGTATTTTGTTGCAACAATTTTGTAAAAGTGTGGTTTATTTTTTCTTTGTTTATATTTTATTGTTCACTTTGATGTCTTCAGTATGCTACCAATGTGAAAAATGTGTATCAACTTAAAACACTTGATTACAAGTAGTCCTTGACTTACATCCAAAAATTGCTGTTGAGCTGAAAATTGCTGTTGTTAAGTGAGACATTTGTTGAGTTTTGCCCCATTTTACGACCTTTCTTGACACAGTTTTTAAGTGAATCAGTGCAATTGATAAGTTAGTAACACATTAAGTTAATCTGCCTTCCCATTGACTTTGTCAGATGGTCACAAAAGGTAACCTCAAGACTTCAGTGTACTGCAACTGTCATAAATATGAACCAGTTGCCAAACATCTGAATTTTGATTACAAATTATAGAGATGCTGCAAAAGTTGTAACTGTGAAAAAGTGTCATAAGTCACTTCTTTCAGTGCTGTTGTAACTTTGAGCAGTCACTAAATGAACTGTTGTAAGTCGAAAACTACCTGTACTGATATATGAGTAATTATAAAGGGATTTTGTCAGGAAATTTGTAATGATAGCATTATAAAAAGGTATATGTTACTGAAAGCAAAACATAGACTATTGCCAAAACCTGTTCTCCTTAAATTACTCTTCGTTATGGGGAGGGGCTATTGCATCGGTTATTGTCTTTTCTGTTTTGTTATTTTATTTTATGATAAACTATCATGCAATGGTAGTACATTTTGTTTTTTAAAAAAGGAAGATGATTGACTGTCTTACTACCTTGTTGCTATTCACAAATCGATTTTAGAAACAGGGCAACATGTTAGACTCAAAATTTTTGCTGTCTAGTTGAATACTGTTTGATACTTTTTATATAATCCCTGATTGCTGTTGAGTGAGAAGAATCATTTTAGTATTTTTATTCTTAGAACCCATTCCTTTGTCTTGCAGCTACTTGTGGCAGATTCCATTAACAATTGCAGTAGGAAATACAAGCCACATCTCACCAGAGACAATTATATGGGTGTCTAACAAATCAGGTAAACATAAACTTTCCTTCCCAGTAGAATCTCATAAAGCATCCATGTGTTTTTCTGAACTATTTCTTCATAATGGATCTTAGAAAAATGATTACTGTTGCTAAACAAAGATTTTGTTTTGGAAAAACATGTAATAAAAAATCTCATGATTTTTCCCCATAATAAAAATAAGAAAAAATGAGAATATTATGAAATATCTACTTTATAACACAAGATAGTCTGGAAATGTCGATTTATCTTCATATATAAAATCATTGTGATAAATTCATAAAATATATCTAGTTTACAGATAGTGTAAAGTATAAATTTAAATTCTGATTTAATCCTATAATTAACCTAAGAAAATTATAAATAAATTCTCATTCTTCTGTAAATCCTTTTCTGAGGTTAGCAAAGTGGGTTTCTTTTAGTTTTGGCACCATCATTCTTTTTTTTTTTTTAGTTTTTTTTTTCCCCAAACAATTTTAGTAGGAAATTACCTCCAAGTCACTTAGAGTCTAAGTAAACTGCTTTGGAATCGGAATGAAGTAGACAGGAAACCTATCTAGCAAGTGTTATATGCTGTTTCTCTTAGGTGTTTTTCTCACTTATTCTCCTAAGCATGCTGTACATCATTCCTGAATTGGCACAGTCTGCTTCAATGGCAAGGCATAAAAAAGGAAAGAGGAGTCTTTGGCCTACCTGTGAAAAGAAGATAAAATGAACCAATTTCATAGAGAATTTATAATGTTGTTCTTTGCTGTAATTATATGAAAGGAAGCAGTCAAAAACTTGCGATTTTCTTTCCCTTTTGTTCTTTAACAGTTGATTAGTTGTATTATCTTAGAACATGGTGCCGGGAAAGGTATATATAGAGTATTTGTTCTTTTAAATAAGCATTATTATCATAAGGCAGATTTTTGGCTTTAGATATGGTTGGCTCAGATTTTCAAGCCATTCAGATAACTTACTGATTCAGAGCTAGATGTTGAAGCCATGGGTTTTTTTAGTTCTGCGTATGTCTATGTAAAAGAGGAGAGCTATGTGACTGCACTTTCCTTTGCTTAAATTAATTCTTTATATGCATTCTTTGTATTCAAATTAACTGTTCCTATCATCAAAAAGTAAGCCAATAGTAAGTAGCAGTCACTGATAAACTATTACATATATTTCTAAGGAAATATATTGAAAATTACCAGCTTGGGAATAAAGCTAATTCATTTTGAAAGCTGTCTTTATTCATGAGCAATTCCATTTTACTTCATTTATATGCTAATCAATATGCAGACAGTGAGAGAGGATTGAATGGTGCCAGGTTCATGGAATCACAAGAATTTGTACAATAAAAATCAGTAACAATCGTGGTATTAGATTCCAGTCAGCATATTTCAAATAGTGTGTAGGGATGTATGGTATGCACATTAGCTATGAATTTGATAAGCTTAGCAGATTGTTAGTAGATGAAGGATTAATTTTGGAAGACATGTCACTAGGAAAAATTCTAAGAGCAATGTATATTAGATATATGCAAGATATCTTGTTCATTTTTCTGGACAGCCCTTTGCATTCAAAATGTTCATAACAAAATAATAGTTGGGAAAATTTCTTTCTTTTGAAAAGTTGTTTGATGCATGAATAACCTAATCATACTTACATCTGCCTTAATATGTATGCCTTTATGAAACAAAAGGAACAATATTCCTGGTACCCCTACTGACAGAACTAGAATGCTGTAGACTGGCATCTTGAATTCCACAGTCAAGAAAAATAAGTAGAGTCTTAACTAATTATGTATTTTAATTGGATGTCTTTGAAAGATGGAAAACTATGTCTATGATGCGTCTTCAGTGATTCAAAAGATACTGGCTACTTTATGTGATGAAGAAGCAGTCTCAAATAATAGAAGTTGTCACTTGGTGGAGAAATGATAGACTCTTGACAAAGAACCCTGGCTTTACAAATTCTAGAGAACTCCTCCACTCTTTTTTCAATCTTCCTTCTTTTCCAACTCTTATTTGTCAAGTGTAGAATCTTGAACTATCCACATAGTACATTGTTTTTGTAAATGGATCATACACACAAAGATCCAGGAATTCTGTTAAAGTAGTTTTTCCTACATCATTATTTGTTGCATAGCAGCATTACTTCATTAGAATACTTGATGCTGTTGAGGAAGGTACACTTGAAGACAACCAACACCTGATTCCCTCTCATTAATTTGAAATCCAAGTATCAATACAACAGCTTCACAGGGCCCAATATATTTGCCTGTCAAGGAATGCGTGATTTTTCATCTTCGCTGTTCAAATGCAAAATTTCCTGATACTTCCCTTCAAAAATTGACATATTTGATGGATTTGACAAATGAGCATATTTTTTACATTGAGAAGACAGCAACCTTTAGTACTATCCATTGAGAGATTAAAGTTTGACTCTTGTCCTACTTAATGACTTTCAAATGCTCCCATTTCTGAAGACTATTTCTTGCAGATTGGATATGAATTATCACCACACACTGTACACTCACTAAATGGCTTGGGTCCACATTTCAGAGGAAACTCAGAATGTTGGAAAAATGGTACATGCAGTAAGTTCTGAGTTTCTGCTGAAATATGGACCATGGATCATGTGCTTTGATATTAACTTACAGAGCTTTAGATCTTCATTGGGTCTGGCATTTCAGCTTTCAGAAATGTATCACAAACTTGTCATCTTGGCTTGTATGCTTCATCAAGCCACAGCAGACAGTGCAAATCAGGAAGACCCCACTAGCAAACTTTGCACATAAGCAATCTTCCTACTAAAGAGATTGTGTGTTCCACTGAGGTACTACCAGTATATGAACAACTTTCTCTTCAAGTTGAGTACTTGCAATTAAATCTGCAAAATCATTTAGTTGCTAATTCAAAAAAAGATGCTGTTGTATTTATTGCTAGTTTGGGTTGCATATAAATGTAGTGAAAAGTGAATCATTACCATAATTCCATATATACAACATGACATCTCAACATCATTCTATCATATGTTTTGGTCCACAACAAATGTTGAATATGATGTGCCTTGTGATGTTTCCAAAATCATCATCATCATCGTCATGACCACCACCACCACCATCATCATCCAGTGCGTCAGTCTGCCCTCTGTATATTGTTGATCAAAGGTTGTTTGATTCATTTGGATGTAACTCAGCCTCTTGGCTTCAACCTTATCAGCCATGTCAACCATGTATTGTTCAAACAGACATCCTCCTCTTAGAATATTAATTAACTCATTCCCATGATTCAGTATTCATATGTATAACAACACACAGCCATTAGTTGCTTGTGGTTTGTGGTTTGGAACTGATGATGCCAACCACCACCTCCAAAAGGAGAGATAAATATTATTGAAAGCTGTCGTAGAAATGATGGGACTCTGAAATGATTTTCAAACCACCACCCAGAGGTGGTATTCAGCAGGTTCTGACCAGTTCTGGAGAACCGGTAGTGGACATTTTGAGTCGTTCCGAGAACCGGAAAATACCCCCTCTGACTAGAGATTTTACAGTATCCTTCCCCTGCCACGCCCATCAAGCCACGCCCACAGAATTGGTAGTAAAAAAAAAAATTGATTCCCACCACTGCCACCACCTCATTCTTTCAACATAATGTGGTGGGCAGGATCATTCTACCCAGGCTCTAGTGGTATTGGTCTACCTGATCTTTGGCAGTTAGTGGTGAGACTGGTCTACCTGGCTTGTGGAGGCAAGACTGATTTAGTGAACTTCCAGGGGGTAGCATAGCAGTGCTAAAGTAGCCACAGATTTCCCAGATATTCAACCCCATGAGGTCATAATGCTAATAGCCCCTTACAGCAATAGCACTTAGACTTATATACTGTTTCATAGTGCTTTATAGCCCTAAGTGGTTAACAGAGTCAGCGAATCACCCCCAACAATCTGTCCTCATTTTACTGACCTCAGAAGGATGAAAAGCTGACTCAACCTTGAGCCGGAGAGACACGAACTGTCAAACAGCTGGCAGCCAACAGTCAGCAAAATTAATCTGAAATGCTGCATTCTAAGCACTGTGCCACCATGGCTTATATACTTCATCTTAATTTTATTGTACTCATAACATGTCCCAAAGGTACTGTTTCTGGAGGAAACTGTGCTTTCTTGTTTTTCTTTGAAGACATTTCACTTCTCATCCAATAAGTTTCTTCAGCTCTGACTGGATGTTAGGGAATGGAAGGATTCTTGGATGAGAATTGCGCAGGAGAGCAGCATTTGGTTCAGAAGTTGCAAGTTCATGCTTACAGAGATAAAAAGGTAAAAGACAAGTATGTTATTTAAATATTATATTTAAAGCCAATTCTTTCATTATTAGCACATATTTCTAAGACAAAAATATAAGGGAGATATTTTTATTAAACATTTGACCCCAAGTTTTGCAAGGAGGAAAAATCCTTCAGTAGTAGGTAAATAGTAAACATCCTTGCTAAGTGGATGGATGAATGAATCAATAAGAATTGTTACCTAGGCCAGGGGTCTCCAACCTTGGCAACGTTAAGCCTGGCGGACTTCAACTCCCAGCTGGCTGGGGAATTCTGGGAATTGAAGTCCTCCAGGCTTAATGTTGCCAAGGTTGGAGACTCCTGGCCTAGGCTAATGGTGCTTAGGCTGGTAACCTCTGTGTATAAGAAGCACAAAATGACAAATGGATTGAATCTCAGAGGAGCTTGCTTGGAGGAAACTGAATTACACATATATAATAATCATAGTAAGTGAGATTGGGCTGTCTCTCCATATGGACTATATTAGGATTACTTAACTACTAAGAAAGAAGACTTGAGAGTAAAAGAAGACGACTAATTTTAGAAAGTGCTGATAACTATCAGTCATCATGTTTCAAAAATAACACTAGAATCAATAATCTCAAAACAACCTCAATCCATAACATTGGAGAAGATGATTGCTGGATACTGAAAACAATACACTAAGAAAGGATCAAGAAGAGATCAAAACTTTTTTCAGGCACAAC